TGTCACCAATGCGCACATTCCCCTTCGACGCATACGGAACAACACAAAAAGACCATGGTATAACACGCATCTAAAACGTTTGTCTAATAGAAAAAAGCGCTATTTCCGCACAGCCAAGTTGCAAAATACTAGTGACTGCTGGGTAGCGTATCAAAATGCTGAGGCAGAATACGTGGAAGCTGTGCGTGCTGCTAAGAATCGTTTCCAAACGCATACGTTGCCTGAATTGTTATCAAGGAACCCCCGGCAATTTTGGAACGTTATCAATTCTAGCCAAAATGCGGATTTATCAATTAACGATGACTCTGGTGAGCCGCTACCACCATCTGAATGTGCCGCGTTATTTAACAATATTTTTTCAGCCAATTTCTCGGGAAATATTGTTGCACCTGTTGACGCAGTTGTGTGCCGTGACTACCGCTCAATGTTTCCTATCACTTTTGATTCTGCAGGAATTTTGAAGTTAATTGACACCTTAAAAACATCCTCATCATGTGGGACTGATGGTATCAACTCAAAATTTCTCAAACAAACAAGCGCATATTCGTCTCTCTTCTTGTGTAAGATTTTCCAGCAGTCACTTGACCAAGCAACTTTGCCGCTGGACTGGAAGGTCGGTAAGGTTGTGCCGATACACAAGTCTGGTGATAAACACTCCGCTCTTAACTATCGGCCCATTTCACTAACAAGCATTCCGTGTAAACTAATGGAACATGTACTGCATTCACATATTGCGAAACTTTTAGAATCGAATTCATTTTTTACATCGGCCCAACACGGTTTTAGGCGTACGTTTTCCTGTGAAACCCAGTTGCTTCTCTTCACTCATCACCTGCATACCATTCTTGATAAACAATCTTTAATTGACTGCATTTTCCTGGATTTTGCAAAAGCATTTGAAAAAGTCAATCACGCTTTACTAATGCATAAGCTCTCCTCTCTCAACCTTGACTCGAATGTACTGGCATGGCTCAACTACTTTCTAACAAACCGTCTTCAGTACGTCACTGTTAACGGTCATGACTCGCCGGAAATAAGTGTAACATCGGGTGTACCGCAAGGCTCAGTTCTGGGACCTCTGCTGTTTTTAATATATATTAATGATCTCCCTGACTGCGTTTCTTCATCCGTTCATTTATATGCCGACGACTGTGTGCTTTACAGGGAAATACGTACCGATGATGATAGGAACATCTTGCAGACAGACTTAAATAACATTAGGAATTGGTGCGATAAATGGCTTATGAAATTAAATCCCAAAAATGCAAGCTAATGACAGTCTCCCGCCAGCCTAATAACTCCTCAACATACAAACTGGGTGATGTTTATCTTGACCAAGTGTCGTCATACCGGTACTTAGGCGTCACCATTTCTTTCAATCTAACATGGAATGCCCATATTAACGTCATCACGAACAATGCTAACCGTACATTGGGATACATACGTCGAAATTTCAGCAACGCCCCACTTTCCTTGAAGATGCTTCTTTATAAAACCCTCGTGCGCTCGAAATTGGAGTACGCTGCTGCAATCTGGAACCCTCACCACGAAAACTTGATTAGGCACCTTGAGCTAATTCAAAATAACGCTGCACGTTTTATTCTATCGGATTATCACCGTACATCAAGCGTAACAGCAATGAAGCACCACTTGTCACTGCCACCTCTATCACTGCGTCGCAAGTACTTCCGCCTTTGCCTTTTCCATAAGACCTACCATCATCCATCACTGCGTAATGAGCTCATTACGCCTCCCACATATCACTCCTCTCGGATCGACCATGAACACAAGGTTAAAAGTACTTTCTGCTACACAAACACATTTTCTTGCTCCTTCATACCGGTCACATCAAACGATTGGAATCGGCTACCAGGTGACATCGTTTCCATCTCTGATCACTCCCTCTTTCGTCATTCTTTATCAGCTCACCTATTTTTCGATAGCTCTCCTTAGTCATCCGATCTATTCCCCTCCTTACGAAGTTCTGTCTCCACGTGTCAAGATGCCAGCGTTTTCCAGTGGATTCTTGATTTTTGTGTGTGCGTGTCATTTCCCTTACTTTTACACTTTTTTGCTAGTACTGTATAATTTTACTACGTTCACTATTTGCTCATTGTGATTACGTCTCACTTTTGTTGCGCCTCATTGAGTAGAGGTTTTTTTTTTTTTTTTTTTTTTTTTAGTTTTGTTCATGTATAAAATAGCACGTATATTTTTATGTTGTAACCCACTCCCCTCTGTAAAGCTTCGGCGATTGAGGGTAACAAAATAAATAAATAAATAAATAACGCGCTAGAAAGTTGCAGGGGCCCAGCAAAGACCAAACGGCATCACCTTGAATTCGAAGAGGCCGTCTGGTGTTATGAAGGCCGTTTTTTCTCGGTCTCTCTCGTCAATTTCAATTTGCCAATAGCCGGTCTTGAGGTCTATTGTCCAAAAATACCTCATGTTGTAGAGTCTATCGAAAGTGACGTCTATCCGTGGGAGAGGATACACATCCTTCTTCAGGATTTCGTTCAGGCGACAATAATCGACGCAGAAGCGTAGGGTGTCATCGTTCTTTTTCAGTAGCACCACAGGTAACGCCCACGGACTCTTGGAAGGTTGTATGATGTCGTTGCGTAGTATTTCATCGACTTGTTTTTTTATTGCCTCCTGCTCTCGAGTGGAAACTCTGTACAGGCTCTGACGGAGTGGTCTGGTACTCTCCTCTGTTAGGATGTGATGTTTTGCTACTGATGTCTACCAAATTTTCAACGACGATGAAAAGCAGACCTCGTATTGCCGGAGCAGGCTTCTCAGCCGTTTTGGCTTATGCACCGGAACAGTCGCATTGACATCGAAATTTCCATGAAGACCTCGATTCGTCGAAGCAGGTTCAGTAGACTCTGCAAGGGCGATAATGTTGCTGGCTTCGACAATTTCTTCAAAATAGGCAACTGTCGTGCCTTTGCTCACGTGTTTGTACTCGTTGCTGAAGTTCGTGAGCATCACTATTGCTTTCCCCCTTCTCAGCTCAGCTATTCCTCTTGCGACGGAAATCTTGCAATTGATTAATAGCTGCTGGTCGCTTTCAACGGCGCCTTGCATGCATGCTGATTTCTGAGAGCCGACGCAAATGTTGATACTGGATCGAGGGAGAATGGTGATCTGATATTTCAGTACATTCAAGACCTACATCCCAGGTGGCGTGTGCGGTGGTAGGGCTTGTTCTGTTGATAGTGTTATCGACTTGGATCCCAGATCGATGATTGCACCATGAAAGCCTAATAAGTCCACACCAAGGATCACATCTCTCGAGCACTGGTGTACTACTACGGAGCTTGCAGAGTAAATCCGGTTGTTAACGCAAACTCTCACAGTGCAGATTAGCTCTGGCATTACTAGGTGGCCTCCAGCTGTTCTTAATTCAAAGCCTTCCCAGGCATACTTAACTTTCTTTAACTTCGTAGCGAACGCTCCACTCATGACCGAATAGTTGGCTCCGGTGTCGACAAGAGCTGTTACACTGTTGCCGTCGATAAGAACGTTGAGGTCCCTAGTTCGTCGTCTCATGTTGCAGCTAGGTAGTGGCGTCAGGTCACGGCTGTGTCGGCTTGTTCCGCTGCTTTTATGTTGCATCATTAAGTTGTCATCAGTACATGGGGTTTCATTGTCGGGTCTTCGCTTGGTTCCTGTGGTGTTCGGAGAGTGCCGTCACGTCGTCGTCGGAGGATCTTCGGTAGTTCGTCGCACAGCAACCGTACCTCCAGCGGTTGCTGCCCTCAGTTTTCCGGATAAGGGCTAGGAGACTGGGCCCGGGTTGGGCCAGTGTACGGCCGGCGGTGAGGCGACATGTAGCGGCCATTCTAGCGTTATCGCTAGCAGGGACATAGGTTCTCAAATAATCTGTATTGCTCACAAAGTGGGCGCAATCTTAACAAAACAATCCACTACAGACTCTAAGCCGCTCGAACATCGTATGGGCGGTTTTTGCTGAACGCAGTGTAACGGGGTGATAACAAAACTTGAGAAAAGAACGTGGCAATATCAAGGAGGCTCCACACAAAATTTGGCACTCGATATACGAGTAAACTTCACAGCACGCTCGCCAATGTAGCTGTCTTTGGTATTGAAACTGAAAGAGAAAACACCTCTACCATTCCACAAAAGTGACACATCAACTAGGATGCACAGCTTCTCACTGCTGTCTTTGATGTAATAAAGCGGTTCACACAGTGATGCATTTAGAAACTTTAGTGGCAGCGTGCTTAGATTTGTGTCAAGGCAACAACTTCCATCAGCACAAATCGTGTACTTAGGCACGGTTGAATGCTGCTAAAAATAACACTACACCATTACTAACCCCATGGCTTTAAGATTATCTGCCATGTCCTTATAATTGAAAGCCATGTAGCAGGTTTTTTGTGTGTGGCATTTGAGAAAGTTGCTGCAGTTCTGATTTAATGAAGTTCTTGCACATTACATGCACAAACTTGGTCCCTCTATTAATGAAAGTTCAGTAAGCATCAAGTGAGGGAGAATCAATGTTTTGCAGAAAGGTTATGCAGTCCAGCAGGTATATCGTGTGCTGCAGCTGCAATGGCTGTTATAATTGTCGCTAATGTTAGGTACCATTGATATCTCAGCTGGCCTCACACAAGCCTGTGCATAGTTTACTGGAAATTAGTGTAGCAGTAGTGAAAATGCATTGAAGCATACTGTGACCAACGACAATAACTATGCAGTTGTAGCTACCCTGGAGTGTAATAAAATCGCCACATGCTCAGATTGACGTCCAGGTGTCCATGTTTCGACAAGAACTTTGGGGGTATGTTTTTTCGGGCGTTCGTTAGTAGCGGTTGTAAGAATCGCTAGTGGCATGTTCAGTCAGTCATTTTCACAAGCGGTTTGCAAGTACGAGCCTTACTGTGCATGACCCACTTCAGCGTTGCATATATAGAATTGATTAGTCAGCTTGGTCTAACTGGTGCATCTCTGTCGATGCTGCTTCATTACAGTACTTAGAGCAAAAGCGCTATGAAGACGCCTACCGCGCATGGCGCAATGCCACTCGGCAGCGGCTCAATCTGTGCTCAACAAATTGGGCGTCCGTAATCTTTCACAAAAGATCCACTACAGACTCGAAGCCGCTCTCGACCTCGTAGGGGCGGTTTTCGCTGAACGCCAGTGTAACGGGGTGATAACAAACTTGAGAAACAGAACGTGGCAATACCAAGGAGGCTCCACACAAATTTGGCACTCTATATACGATGGTAAACTTCCACAGCACGCTCGCCAATTGTAGCGTCTTTGTATTGAAACTGAAAGAGAAAACCCCTCTACCATTCCGTCGAAGTGACACATCAACTACGCTGCACTAGATTCTCACTGCTGTCTTGTGATGTAATAAAGCGCGTTCACACAGTGATGCATTTAGAAACTTAAGTGGCAGCATGCTAGATTTGTGTCAATAGCACAACTACCATCAGCACTAATCGTGTACTTAGACACGGTTGAATGCTGCTAAAAACAACACTATACCATTATTAACCCCATGGATTTAAGAATATCTGCCATGTCCTTATAATTGAAAGCCATGTAGTAGGTTTATTTTGTGTGTGGTATTTGGGAAAGTTGCTGCAATTCTGATTTAATGAAGTTCTTGCACATTACATGCACAAACTTGGTCTCTCTATTAATGAAAGTTCAGTAAGCATCGAGTGAGGGAGAATCAATGTTTTGCAGAAAGGTTATGCAGTCCAGCCGGTATATCGTGTGCTGCAGCTGCAATGGCTGTTATGTTTGTCGCTAATGTTAGGTTTCATTGATATCTCAGCTGGCCTCACACAAGCCTGTGCATAGTTTACTGGAAATTAGTGTAGCAGTAGTGAAAATGCATTGAAGCATACTGTGACTAACGACAATAATTATGCAGTTATAGCTACCCTGGAGTGTAATAAAATCGCACATGCTCAGATTGACGTCCAGGTGTCCATGTTTCGACAAAAACTTTGGGGATATGTTTTTTCGAGCGTTCATTAGTAGCGGTTCTAAGAATCGCTAGTGGCATGTTCAGTCAGTCATTTTCACAAGCGGTTTGCAAGTACGAGTCTCATTGTGCATGCCCCACTTCAGCGATGCATATATAGAATTAATTAGTCGGCTTGGTCTAACTGGTGCATCTCTGTCGATGCTGCTTCATTACAGTACTTGGAGCAAAAGCGCTATGAAGACGCCTACACGCATGGCGCAATGCCACTCGGCAGCGGCCAACACACCTCGTCTCGTGGAACAACCTTGTCCTAATGCTGGACCAGAGGGGCCATGCCTCCGACGCTGAACATGCTGCACTCCAGGCTCTGAGGCACCTCCCCCACGAACCTGCCCTTCATTTCCAACTGGCCAATATCCTTGGAAGGCAGGAAAATACCAGCGCTCGGAGCAGCATTTCCTGGCAGCCATTCGATTCAGTCCGGACAATCCTACCTATCACACCAACCTTGGTCAGTTGCTCATATAAAGGGGTTAATAATCAATAATTGCTGCAATCATGTTAAAGCAATGAAATTACTTTTTGTTACAATCAGTGATCTAAGTAATTACTTTGTGGGCTTGTGAGTGAGTAGTTACAAGAAAATTACTGATTACCTTCCCAAATTTCTTTTATTGAAATATAACCTGTCTGCTTCTCTTACGGTATAAAAATTTCACCAAAGAAAAGAAACTTTGAAAGCAACGAAAAGTCAATCTAAGTGCCAAACCTCAAGCATGAGAGCGAGGCAGGGTCACTGGAAACATGCATAGTATCCAAATATGAAGTTCCAAATAATATATCTGGAAGGTCATGGTCCTCGAAATTCCAAACAAGAGGTTTTGATAATGGCTGCACACATTTTTTTTATTGATGGACAGCTCAGTAACAGGATGCAAAGGTTTCAGTTGCATTAATTTGCCCCTACTCCTTTTCCCCCTTTAGGGAGGGGGCTTTTCTTTAGACAAAATGACGGTAGGTTCTGAGACGTCCCCCGCTACGCCACCGATTACCAAAAAGAAGGAAGACCACTCAACCCCTTGTCTACCCGGTTCTTTCTTGGATATGTGTCTCAATCACTTCCCACATACAGGGATTCGTTCTGGGGCCGGGAAATAAGAGACGCTACGACCTGGTCCTGTTTACCAATTCATTTAATTTATTACTAACTGCAAACATCGTATACCCGCGTACATCAACCACTACACAAAATTATAACACATGATTTAGACACTCGCAACGTTCGACACAGGGCAAGCACATAAAGAAAGTAACTGCAACAATACAAGGGTATGCATATTGACACGTGCGGTTCTTTTCGTTTGCGAAGGAAGACGCTATCACTTTCTGTTAAGCGCAACGCAGGCCGCGTTTATCTTGTATGCCACTCTGGAACGCGTTACGACGCGTGTATAAAAAGCCGGCGCAGTGCGCCACTGGGGGTCTTTTTTTTTTTTTTCCGTCGGCCGACGACTGTTCACGCCGCTGTTGCTGTGAGTTGTGTTTGGCCCTGTTTTGCTGGGCACAAGTTCGCCCAATAAACAGTTCGCCTGACACCGCCCTGACTCCTGCGTGCTTCCTCTCAAGTGCTGCGTGTATCGCAACCTCGTGACATCTTGTATCCTTGTAGTCTGAGACTCCACCGTGCAAGGCGCCCTGATGGATCCTTCAACTTAGCTAGCCAACACAAGGCGTGGTGGTCACTCACGACTTTGAAAGGCCTGCCGTACAGGTAGGGGCGGAACTTTGATGTAGCCCAGATGATGGCAAGGCATTCCTTTTCTGTCGTGGAATAATTGGCTTCTGCCTTCGAAAGTGACCGGCTAGCGTAACTGATGACCCTTTCAAGTCCGTCGGTCCTCTGCACGATCACGGCGCCGAGCCCTGTGCTGCTTGCGTCCGTGTGAATTTCGGTGTCAGCTTCTTCGTCGAAGTGCGCCAGTATTGGCGGCGTTTGCAGGCGTCGCTTTAATTCTGAAATGCCTCGACTTGCGGCGTTTCCCATTTGAAGTCGACGTCGGCCTTCGTGAGGTACGTCAGTGGCTCGGCGATCCGCGAAAAGTTCTTCACGAAGCGCCTGTAATAAGCGCAGAGGCCAAGAAATCGGCGTACTGCTTTCTTGTCGGTGGGTGCAGGAAAGTCGGCGATCGCAGCTGTTTTCTGTGGATCAGGGAGCACTCCCGACTTGCTGATAACGGGGCCAAGGAACAATAGTTCCTCGTAGGCGAAGCGGCACTTTTCTGGCTTCAGGGTAAGTCCCGAGGCTTTGATTACCCGAAGAACAGCTTCAAGGCGCTGGAGGTGCTCGTCGAAGTTGGAAGAAAATACGACTACGTCGTCCAAGTAGACGAGGCAAGTCTGCCACTTCAAGCCTGCGAGTACTGTGTCCATAACCCGTTGGAACGTCGCAGGCGCCGAGCAAAGACCAAAGGGCATGACCTTAAACTCGAATAGGCCGTCTGGTGTTATGAAGGCAGTCTTCTCTCGGTCTCTCTCGTCTACTTCGATTTGCCAGTAGCCGGTTTTGAGATCCATTGACGAAAAATACTTGGCGTTGTAGAGTCTGTCCAGAGCATCGTCTATCCGTGGGAGGGGATAACACGTCTTTCTTCGTGATGTTGTTCAGGCGACGATAATCGACGCAAAAACGTAGGGTTCCGTCCTTCTTCTTCACCAACACCACGGGTGATGCCCACGGACTCGTAGACGGCTGAATGATGTCGTCACGCAGCATTTCGTCGACTTGTTGCTTGATGGCCTCGCGTTCCCGTGCAGAAACTCGGTAGGGGCTCTGACGGAGCGGACGGGCATATTCGTAGGTTATGACGCGATGTTTCGCGAGAGGGGTCTGACGAAGCCTCGACGACGACGAGAAGCAGTCCTTGTATTGGTGGAGTAAGGCTTTGAGCTCCTTTTGTTGCTGCCTGGAAAGGCTTTGATTGACGTCGAAGGCGGGCGCGGACACTGCTGTCGACGTTGCGGCTCCCTGAGAATCAGTGAGGGCGAAGGCATTGCTCGCTTCCACAAATTCGCTTAGATGTGCTAACCGTCGTGCCCCTATTTAAGTGCCTATATTCGTTGCTGAAGTTCGTCACCATTACCTTGGCTTCGCCGTTATGAAGCTTGGCTATGCCTCTTGCGACGCACATCTGACGGTTTAGGAGCAGGTGCTGGTCGCCTTCGATGACACCTTGTAAGTTGGTAGACGCTTTGGTGCCGACGGAAATGATGACGCTCGACAGTGGCGGGATGGTTACCTGCTCTTCTGTCACATTCAAGGCATTGTGAGCGACGTTGCAGTCTGACGCCGTTGCATTATCCGTGGACAGCGTGATTGACCTGGATCTTAGGTCGATTACTGCGCCTTGCTGGTCCAGGAAATCCATGCCTAAAATGACGTCTCGCGAGCATTGCTGCAGGACCACAAAATTCACAGAATACGTCTGGCTGTGAATCGCGACTCTTGCCGTGCAGGTTCCAGTCGGTGTTATAAGGTGGCCCCCTGCTGTTCGGATATCCGGTCCTTCCCATGCAGTCTTTACCTTCTTGAGCTTAGCGGCGAAGAGACCACTGATGATAGAGTAGTCGGCGCCGGTATCGACTAGGGCGGTGACGCTGTGGCCGTCGATGATCACGTCGAGGTCGGTGGTTCGTCGTCTGGCGTTCCGGTTAGGTCGGGGCGTCGGATCACGGCTGCGTCGGCTTGGTCCGGTGCTGCTATGTTGCGTCGGCGGCGAGGCTTTGTCGTAAAGACTCTGCTCAGGCGGCGTACTGCGACTACGTCGGGAAAGTTCGTGCGTCGTGGTCGTCGTCATCGGCAGCGGCGGCGGCGGCGGAGGAGGATCTTCGGCATTGCGTCGTGCAGCAACCGCACCTCCATCGGTTGCTGCCTTTAGTTTCCCGGGTAGGGGCTTGGGGATCGGCCCCGGTTAGGGCCGGTGTACTGGCGGCGATCCGGGGAGACGTAGCGGCCAGGCGAAGGTGAACGGGATGGTCGTCGTTGTTGCCACTGCGATCTGGCGATGTAGTCGGCGATGTCGCGAGGTCGCTCACCTGGGCGCGGACGCGGCGCGTTCACGTCGAAGCCACGCAGTCCCATCTCACGGTACTGGCAGTAGTGGTAGGTGTGCCCGGCTTCGCCGCAGTGGTAGCATAGTGGGCGGTGGTTCGGGGTGCGCCAAACGTCAGTTTTCCTCGGCGAGCGCTGGATTACTGGCGAGCGGGAAGGCGTCGGGGGTGGCGGCGGTGGCTGGCGACGAAACTGCGGAGACGTTGGGTCCTGGTGTTGGCGAGGAGCGGCGACAGGTCGTCGTGCAGTAGCGGCGTAGGTCATCGCCTCCGGTTGGGGCTGTGGCCGTTCAGGAACGCTCAGTGAGCGCTGTAGTTCCTCGCGGACTACGTCTTCGAGAGAGGCGACTTGGGGCTGAGACGATGGCAACATGCGGCGCAGTTCTTCACGAACAATAGCGCGTATGGTCTCGCGCAGGTCGTCGGGGCAGAGTCCTTGGACTTCTGCGACGTCTGGCGACATGCGCCGATCGTATTGGCTGGTCCGCATTTCAAGAGTCTTCTCGATGGTGGTAGCCTCGGAGAGGAACTCTTGTACCGTCTTTGGCGGGGTTCTGATCAGTCCGGCGAAGAGCTCCTGCTTCACTCCTCGCATAAGCAGGCGAACCTTCTTGTCCTCAGACATGTCGGCGTCGGCGTGGCGGAAAAGTCGCGTCATCTCCTCCGTGAAGATCGTTACGTTTTCGTTGGGGAGCTGCACCCGAGTTTCAAGCAGTGATGCGGCTCTTTCCTTCCGCACGACGCTTGCAAAGGTGCGCAGGAAAGCAATGCGGAAGTCGTCCCAGGTTCGAAGCGTTGACTCGCGGTTCTCGAACCAAGTCCTTGCGGCGTCTTCCAGGTAAAAATACACATGACGCAGCTTGTCGTCCGGGTCCCACTTATTGAGGGCTGCGACGCGGTCGTAAATGTCAAGCCAGCTTTCCGGGTCTTCGTAGGTCGATCCGCGGAAGGTAGGCGGCTCTTTGGGCTGGTTGACGACCACGGTTGCCGAAGACCTTGCTTCCGTCATCGTGGATGCCGGCTTCGTAGCAGCCTTTGTTTTCTTGTCCTTGTCGGGGAGCGGCAGGTATTCGGGCGGTAGTCCTTGTTGTCTTCGGCTCACTCGAACGACCGGGTCGGCGTCGTCCTCTTGGCGGCTTGGGCTTGGCTCACGGCTGGACGGGGCGTACGGTACATGGACAGAGAAGCACCTCCACCAGATGTCACGAGGTTGTGATACACGCAGCACTTGAGAGGAAGCACGCAGGAGTCAGGGCGGTGTCAGGCGAACTGTTTATTGGGCGAACTTGTGCCCAGCAAAACAGGGCCAAACACAACTCACAGCAACAGCGGCGTGAACAGTCGTCGGCCGACGGAAAAAAAAAAAAAAGACCCCCAGTGGCGCACTGCGCCGGCTTTTTATACACGCGTCGTAACGCGTTCCAGAGTGGCATACAAGATAAACGCGGCCTGCGTTGCGCTTAACAGAAAGTGATAGCGTCTTCCTTCGCAAACGAAAAGAACCGCACGTGTCAATATATAAAGAAAACACACGACGACACAAATGATGAAGTTATCAATTAATAAAACCACGCAATGTCTCAACGCGCAGCTTCCCTGCCTGCAAAGCTCGTCTAAATAGGGTGCATAAAGTTAGTCTCACAGAATGTCCATGTTGACGGGGGCCTCGGAGCTGGCTGTTCGAGTCGGGGCTCAGGGCTTCTTCCTGGGGTCATTGTCCAATTCGTCGGCGTCTTCATTGTTTTCGTCATCGTCGCCTTCGTCGTGCCTCTCGGTGATTTCCATCTTAGTCCTCTTTCGTAACGCTCCATTCACTCGCCTCCTATCCCTAACTTGCATTCCTCATCGTACCGTCCTTGCCCCAGTCATCATCTCATCCCCCCTCATCGCTATCTCTTCGCACCATTATCTTCCTTTTCCATTCCGTCTCTCTACCATCTCGAGCTCATCGCATCGTATCTCTGACCCCCTCGTATCGTCTCGTAGTCCCTTTTTGTAGGACCCTACTCCGCCCTACCGGGGCACCAAACCAATCGCCACTATCGACGCATTTCTCTGTCAGTCGGAGTGTATCATCTTCGACGGCCGCCCCCGCGGCCCACACCAGTAGAAAACCCTCTCCCAAACAAAGCCGAGCAAGTAACAATGTACAAACTCAAGCTTCAGAGAGAGAGATTGGCGAGCCGTCCGAAGACACTTTAATTACGGGCGAACAATGGTTCCGATGCTTCCGACAAAGTGCGTCGCCTGTAATGGCCAACGTCCGTAGTTTGCAGTGTTGTGCCGAAAAGTTTTCGGCCGAACCAATTTCCCCGGTTTCTGGTACTTGATGAGCCGATGTCCAGAACGAGTCTCGACGTCTCCATGCAGCTCGGTGTCTCCCACGAAATTTCCGTAGTCGCCGCTTCTTCGTCATTCAACGCCGCGGGTGGCCATCCGCGCAGAACGCAGTAATGAGTCCTGGAGCCACGGAGGCTGACGCAAAGTCGGGCCGGACCCGGCACAGGCGCTGCGGCAGGGTCGCATTCCCCGAACCAACAAAAGGTGCTCTGCTGCTCCCCCATACCACAAATCTGAAGGGTGCGCGTGGATTATTTCCACCGCACACTGTCACACTGTCTGTAGACAAGGCGCCGCCCAGTCCTCGTGTTTGCGCGGGGGAGGGGGAGGGGCGAGAACAGTAGAAATAATCCTTCCAGGTATTCCACTCCGGAATGACCATTTGTTACACCGAAGGTTTTCTTCTCCCTTTTTTTATGCGTGGGTTTAAGAAACGAGCGTAAACATCTTGAAAGGAGCGGGGTTCAGTCCGTGTTTGCGGGGACGTCACAATTCTACGGTCCTCGAATCCCTTGAAGGAACTTCTGCTGATGCAACTTCAAAGTAACTTCTTTACTTGTAAAAGTATTTTTTACTACTCGGTCGTTCGTTTTTTTGTAATAGCCCTTCATTTTCAGGATAATTTGCATAATTTGCAGGATACTTGGAATGAAGAGTAGAGACGACAACTATACTTTTTATTAAGCCCACTCAGTAGCAAATATGCCGTCTGAATTTTGTTGCTTTCTGTAAGCCATGATGCAACGGCAGCATAGATTATGCGGAAGAGTCAGCTACATACCTAGCATATTTTGTGTATGATGAAAGCTCCATTTTTGGCCGCACTTTTTCTATCCAGGTGTGCTCTACCACCGCTGGAAGAAATATGACCAGGCAGAGGAGCGCTACCGACATGCACTGAAGCTCAAGCCTGACCTTAAGAGTGCCCGTGACAACTTGAACATGCTGCTGCAGCAGACAAGGCTACAGGCTGTTGAGACATAACGTTGATCCAAGCATTGAAGGCTGTAGTGGTAGAGCGACCCGCATGGGCACCGGCAGGGGGTGTGCAAAAGGGGGTATTTGCCCCCCCTCAGGCCCCACCAGTAGATGCCCCCCACCCAAGCTACGCCAGTGCTCGTCGTTCCTCAAGCTACAGTGTGACACGAGTTTGCACCCCTCGAAACAAAATCCTGCCAAAATGCATGGTCACATGATATGCACATTAATCTCAGCTTAGCAAGCATTACATGAGCCTTTCCTACAAATTTAGTTCGACAAGTTACAAATCAGCAACAGTTTCCAAATGATGATGTTTATAACAAGTTGTATACCTTATCACTCGCTCTTGCAAATGACTTCAATTGTTAGTAATTTCAGCTCATTTACAATGTTTTAGTCCTGCAGAAATGAACCTACATTGCTGGTAGCTAACCTGAGTGCTAGACTGTAAAGAAACAGAAATGACGCATTCTGTTTTATTTTTATAAGCCTTCTTCCCAAGTCTAGAGCCATCTTGAAATGTTTGTCACTGTCACTCATTGTGTGGTCTTGTCTAGATACGTTTGAAGTTTTTCAACATAAATCGTAGTTTCGTGCGGCTCGGAGCAGTTGCAGAATGCTCGAGCAACTGTACTCTTGTTTAATTGGACAAATCTAACTGTGGCCGTGTGCAAACTGAGCCACATTGAATCCTGGTCGTTTTTATCGTGCATTGGTGATTCTGGAAATATGATGTAGTATGTGGACACTACATGCTGATCAAAGCATTGTGTCAATGCTGAGTGTCACCACGAATTCACTGCATGAAATGGGTATAGTACTGTACGTTGATGGAAAATGCAGTGATCGTGCAAAAACATGAATGACATTGTGCACCACCACTGAATATTAGATGAAGCCATTCCTATCTGATAAACTGAGAAGTGACTGAATTTCACTGAACGCATGGACTCGTACTGTGGAGTGCAAGAAGAGGGCTTATAGTTCAAAAGTTCATCAAACAGTGCGGTGCAGCTGCAGAACTTCCTGCCAATCAACCACTGGCTTGTAAGGAATGTGCTTGCATAAAAATGCAGGGTATGCAGGGGCTTATGAAGGCAGTATTGATTTCATAGGCCTCTGGTTTAGGATGATTTTATTTTGATAGTTTTTACTTTGACTATATGTTCTATATCATTCTAGAAACCACCTCAAAGAACTCATCACATATATACAATACGTACATTCTGTACTCTAAATGATCTGAGGTAATATTCTTACATATGGTATAGAGAACAGAAATCATTCTCACCGTTTGTTAATTTAGTGCATTTGATGTATAATACAACTCATGGAATAATACATGACAGGGAGATTAAGTTAACGCTCGGCACGTTAAGTTGCTTGAGAAAACCATGTGGTGTAGCTAAAAATTCGGTCTATTGAACTTATATTGATTGAAGTACTATATAAGGGTCACAATTGTGCAGATTCCGCAAAAATATCAGCTGGTAAAAATAAAATTCTGCACATTAGTTATCCCTAAGTTAACTGTTTTATTCCGAGTGAACTGTGCAGTCGTGGACGAATAAAATGTGAACAAAACATTGCAGTAGAGAACAGTTTTGGCATGTCATGGTCTGAGAGCATTGTCTCATACATCTAAGTATCTGGTTGTCGGAGACAGTTCAGCCGTCCCAATAACCTTGTAAGACAAAATTGTGCTTGGCATTGTATGTACTGGTAAAAAGAAAAGTATGTGTTCGAGCCAGCTGTAACTCGTCGTCAGGCTCACAGCCAAGAATTTATTTCGGGGAGGTTGGAGGAAAGAGAGAGAAAAAAAGGAAGGCACACTTGTCAAAGGTATTGAAAAACTCTTATTCTTTGTCCTCGGCAAAACACCCCCCTTGATCCGAATTTCGGGGGCACCGGACCCTTGCACAACCCCGTGGTTATGGGCCTGCTTGTCAATGTCCACGACTCTACATGCTTTTAAGTTGTGGCTGCATGTGGTCCCATTTTTTTTCCTGTTTGCATGCATGTGTGTTTCCACGAATCTGATGTTGTAGGTTATGTGCCATCAACATGTGTCCACCTGTTGCTGTTCTCCAAGGACACCTCTACTTTCATGTTTGCCTTCTCTAGAGCAGTATGATAACATGTTTCACTACCTTGATGCATCAGTTTAGACCATATAATTTGAAGATGTGTTTTATGAATCTCTTGGTAATCTGCTTGTGATTAATGTTGCTGTGCTTCTCTGACACATTAGTTGTGAAGCTTCTCCTCTGTGAAACAAAAGCAAAATGAGACCCACATTGTAGCGTGCCTAGCTCTCTTACAGGTGGCATTGCAATGCCCAGAGTTGAAGTCCTGTTCTGGTTGGCGACCTTCTCAGTAGCTAGTGATCGAAGAGCATTGTTGATGGTTTCATTGTCTAATGACCAAAAGCAATAATGTAACAAAACGTTTTGTCCATACGAAGTGTATATTGCAGCCAATCTGTGGGATTATGCCGCATTGTTCCTGCGAAATTGGTAATAATTCAACTTTTTGTTATCTCGTCACAACAAGTTCTAACAACTTTCGAAAGTAATAAGTAATTGTTGTAAGGAAAGCGCTGTGTATAAGCCAACTATAATGCACATGTGCTGTAATATACAGGCATTTATTTGCTTAAAAGAAGGGATAATCAAGTTTCTGTAATATGAAAATGAGCACTGTTACCATGTGCAGAGGTTTCTTATATAGGAAGCTGAGGCAAGTGGGTATGGGTATATCCTGGAAAAATCACTTTGAGCAAGGGCATGTGTTTGCTCTTTTTTTTTCCATGCTGTCGTCTTAAACACCTGTTCAAAGTTGAATCAGAGTGGAGTCTTGGAAGGCCAGAAAACATGCTAGACAAACTAGTCGAGGTGCCACCTTGAAGTTCCCGCAATTCGATTCCTGGTGTCGGGAATTTTGTCAGCCTCTGCTCAGGATATGATGTAGAGTATCGGGTTTTAACGTTCTAAAATCATAATGTCATTATGAAGCACACCATGGTGGAAGGTCAAAATTTTGGCCATTTGGTGTGTTTAATATGCACTATCGTTGCACAGTACACTGCCCTCAAGCTTTGCACCTCCATCAAAATGTAACCACTGTTGCTGGTATGGAATCCTTAACTTTCCACTATTCAATGTGCAACGAGTATATCACATTTTGGTGGAACCAAAAATGGAACTTGGCAAGCTTTGATACCTTATTATACAAAAGCAATAAGAAAGAAATTATCTATTGTCCAGGCTCACCATTGAATATACACAGAGAAATACACCCTACCAGACTTTTGTTTGTATAAGTCTAACTATAGCCTCATAATGCACTTCAAGTTTATGCGTTTCGCGAGGTGTTCTCCGCCAGGGGTAAAATAGGTCACCTCATTCAGCGGAGCTAGTGAATGCTGAGTATGCGGGTGGTCAGACGACTGCATGCGTATGAAACGGAGCAGCAGTGACCTGGGGCGATAAAGTAAAGTATAATACAATCGACCCACTTGTGGACGTTTTCGCTATATGATCACTTATTTTATTCACACACTATTCTTTATAGCCTGGCAACCAGGCTAGTTTAACTTTTCTCAAGTACACACGCACTAGCGCATAGAACACCGCTATAAGATGTACTCCGCACCAACAGAAATTTCACAACAGAGTCTTTTATTGTAACAACAGATGTAACTGATGTGTGTGACTTCTGTAGTGCAAGCACCACTGCCATAAGTTCAGCCACAGAAGCTCGTATGAAATCTCGTAGTCAAACAAAACAAGGTCAATCAAATGTCTGGCTAAAAGTACCAGCACCCGACTTTTCATCACTCTGTGATACATCTCTTTAAGGTTACTTCTGATATTAACAGATGTAACCAAGTCTTTCACTTCATTTTTTTTTTTAAGAATGAGGTGCTTGCACTCGCATGAATGCACTAAACGTGATTCATGCTACAACTCTAGAAAGTTCTGATGTGAGCAAAATAATGTAATTTCCGCAATGCTCAACTGCTGCTTTTAAAGTTTCAATAGTTGCTATAAGTTTTTCTATTTGCAATATTGTCTCACTTTCTTTTTGCTATGTGAGAGGCCATGCTTCCTTTTTCTGCCATGTTCTGCTTCTTCTAAGAACTAGTAGTGTATTAGAAGGCATCGATCTATGTGTGAGACTCATCTGCATACTCTTCACTGTAGTACTTACACCAGCATGTGTTTTTGGTGTCATGTTCAAATCCATGCTTTTGTTAATGAGCATTGTTATGTACTTCTAGGTTGCCCCTAAATTTTAGAATTTAATTTGCATGCATGTATATATTAAGATCAACATTATTTGTCTTTATTAGTGTGTTAGGTCCTTGTCCCAGCGTTGCAACATCATTCTGTCGGTTGTATAGCCATAATGTCAAAGTTTTCGCCAGTCTTTCTGCGTGAACCTTGTGTGAAAAGTTGGAAATATTTTGTAAGAAAATTTTGAAAGAGTCCAGTAGCAATAGGCGATGTTTGTTGTTCTTCCAGTGTGAAGGTCCTGATAAGCCTTTCGACGTTTAAATGTTAGATTCCTGCACATATCACCGTGATTAATGTCACAATGCACAATCAGAAAACTTGCACATATCACTGTTGATGTTTCCCCTCTGTTATCTACCTCGACCGTGTGTGTGCTCAGAACGTTGTACGTGTTGCACGTCGTTAAAATTGTAGATGTGTGTTGAAGCACGACTGTGTTTGGAACGTTTCCTCCTGAAATAAAATATTCGTGCAACAAAACGTGCTAGGGTCTCGCATACTGGGCCTTCCGTCGCGCCCGCGGCTCGACGGCGTTGTTCTTTCGGCATGCATTAGCGTAGCGCAAAACGTGCACCCGCGCGTGCAAAAAGTGCAGCCGGCCAGATATGTTTGCAAAACGTAAGGAGTAGATTGAATATCATTCTAATGAGAACTCATGCTAGCGCAGCAGCTCGGCGTGAAGTTATTTTGCCGGCTACTGGGTTACTCCCGGCTGATACCGTTAAGCAGTCTGCCAACAATGGAAAAACAAACGCGCATTGCCTTCGTTCATTGGTTGACCGAAAAGAGCGCTCGTCAAACGCATGGTTGCACGGCAGTAAGTTTAGGTTCAGGCTTACTTTAAATACCGTAAATACATTCGCGAATTAGCAAAGCGGGGATGTCAGTATCTTCGTGCTGAATATCGGCGTCTGTTCAACTGTGCCGATCGACATCATGAACTCCCTTCTCGAACGCTTGGTGAACTTCCTTCAGCGTCGACTAGTGCCTTGTAAGTAGTCGCCGTCTAGCAAATGTTGTGTATGCATGATGAAGCTCCAGAGAATGCAATTCACACGCCCTAGATTTTATAGCATTTAGCGAGCTTTAGGGAATTTGCCGAGGTGACGAGGTACCGCGGAGGCGGTGTTTAACGTGGCTGAAACGCTAAGGTCGCTTTGCTGGGTTTCTCTCTACGGCTGCGACGGTGTCCAGTGGTAGCAACAGCTTTTTACTTTCTTTACATCGATTCTTGGAAAGCTGGATCTTTCGAAAGAGACACGCGTGTCGAGGGTGAACGTGCTGTCATCTTATCGAGATTTATTGAGTAGTTCTCGCTCTTCACCTGTGGCAGACACACCAGTATGCCTCGATCTGTCGTCGGTGCTTATTTAGTCATCTAACGAAATTCCCGTTTTTATGTGCGGGAGAGGCGTGCCGTTCACGGTCGCCATTATCTGTTATTTCTCATTAATATTGTGCCTAACAAAGAAAGCAAGCCCTATACACAGTGTGCTAGTTTTGGGCAAGCTCGTGGTGCATTGATAAGGGCTATGACATGTCGGCCGGCCGGCCGGCCGGCGGTCGCGCAGTTGAATGTGTTCTGAAGTATGCGAGCAAAACCTATAGTGTTTCCTGTGAGATAACATTGTAAATATTTACTATAAACCCAGCGCCATTGATGCAGTATGCATGGGATCAGGGGCGTAGCCAGAATTCTTTCCAGGACATGTTCAACCATGTGCAGACAATTATGTGTGTCATGCATGTTCGTTCGTGCGCTTTAGGCGTGAGCGAAAGTGTGCATACCATAGAGAAATAAAAAAGGTGAAGAGTGGACACTCCCGTAGACCCCAGCGGCCCAATCGACTCTAGCACACCTAGTGGTTGATGAGAGCAAGTGGCTTGCGCTTCCGGTTTCGGTTTCACTGGCGCAACTTTTGAATTACTTTGCATAACCGACGTTTGGCTATGTCGTAAGTTCATAATTTCAGACCACTATTCATCGCCCAAATGGATAGTTTTTGTAGGTCGTTTTGATTTAGCGATTCCCTGTTTTGTTTTGTTCAGTGGTTCGTGCGAATCGGTCGTGACGTAATTTTTATTTTGATTAAGTTATAAAAAAAAGAGATGCAGGTAATGATAATTCACTATCGTTTTATTCATCGCGCTTGTGTTTTTCTTTTGGAACAAGTGATCAATGTATATATCAGTCAAAGAAACAGAGCATCCGCAATGTTTTATTCAAAGGCAAGGTAGAGTATGAGAATATAAAAAGCACAATATGACAAAGGTAGACAACAAATGCATCTCGCCTTACAAATAAATTGTAACAAATATTGTAACAAATACATAGAGAACACAGACAACGCACACATCGCTAGAGTTGGCAGAAGCCGAGAAACTGGTGAAGTATGACACACCGGGCCAGTGGGTAACTAAGGATCTATGGCAAAAACATAGCGCACAATGCTGATGAAGAAGGAAGAAGTGACATATACACAGCAATGAAGTCGCGAATCACGCCTGGGCTTAACTGAAATAATGCATAGAAAAAAAGAGCGCACAGAAACCACACGACACAATATAACAGAAAGGCAAAGGTGCAGTGTGCTGGCTGTGCTTAAGAACAGCTAGTCCAAAATGAAAAAAAGCAGACTTGATGCCTGCTTGTCCTCAGAAAGGTAGGGCTTTGCAGCTTGCTCACTACGTGAAAGACAAACTTTATGCTACAACACTGGCAGGTCTTGTGGCTTTTGTTATGCGTCGCCTTCATCAAAAACTGTTCATCGGGGCACCTCAATGTGTGGGAGCCGCTTTCTGAAGCCTCTACCGCAGGTCCTGAAGAGATGAAATTACGACAATGTGTCAGTAAGAGGCTTATAATAACACAAACTGAAGCTCATCCGCACCTTGCAGTGCAGCTTCTGCAGCCATGTCACAGTCACTACTTGAAGCGACGCTCAGAGAACCTGCATATATGTGCAGTTGGTACAAGTTACAAAGCTTGTAGCATGGGGAAGCTTAAACAGCTCTTTCAAACGCATAAATTGGTCGAACGTGGAAGAAAAGAGACGGCACCAACTAGGAAACAAGTAATTTGTGATTTTTGGAATTATCAACAGTGGCAGCTTTCACTGATGAAAGGTATACGTACATGTGCACTCAGGCTTGAAGATAACGTGAAATAGCCCTTTAAAGTCTTTCAAAACAAGTTGCGCAGGTCCAGAGCATCAAAAAATGACAGAAATGTAAAGCTGCTGTTAGGAAGGTAATAGCCCACAATTCACAGAACTTAAGACTTTCCAAGTGTTACTTCTGTAGTGAGGTTTCTCTATCGGCTACAGAGATCTTCACGGTTAACTGTCGCCACTGATTCAATACAAGTGGCTGCTATTGCACATATTTGAGTTTCAGTCAATCACTTACATGGTGCAGCTGGTTGCACACTGGGAACAGCCATTCTTGTAAGCCTTGTGTGCCCAGGGTCCATGAAACTTTGAGCAGTAAAATGGTCGCTACAAACCCTGTACGTTGCGTACAATAGGCTGGCCGGCTTACTCAGGAGATCATCGCGTCCAGCATACTGCATCCATGCTTTCATCCTGCATTGGCAATGAACTATCAGCTGAAAGGGGAAGTGCTTGAATAGTGATTTTTTATTGTTACCCTCACTTAGCAAGTACGAACAGTAAGCCTACAGACATGCAAACCATACAAAAGCTTTAACACACCTGCCGTCCCGTGGTACGCGGAAGAAACTCGTCCCAGGCTTCTTGTGGGTTCTGCCATTGTTGAAGCACCACGATACACAGCAGTAGCTGCCGTAGCTTGGACCGCCGGACGGCATGGCGTCAGCGCGGTCTGAAAATGTTAGTAAGTGGATGCTTCGCTGTCAAATTACAAAAAAGATATGTGCACGTCATAAGTGTACCAGCAAACCCCTTTGAATGATTAGCTAATCGATGCACAATACAAAACCAGTGATACATCTCTGACCCATAAAACTCTGACTTACAAAGATATACGTCAAGACCACGAACAAAGATCTTCAGAAGTTTCCAGGCCGCTATCCCTTGTAATGCAATGGTATCGCGGCCTGGGAACATTAGAACACCTTCGTGCGTACGCAGTATCAGCAGTACATTGGGAAGAAAAATCGTAGTTGAAATTTGTGCGGTAAAATTATATTGGAAACGTCAAAAAAATTTGTGGGCAGCTTGCACTAGTGGCACAAGGCTAGCGAAGAAACGAAGATGATGGCCACTTGGCTAGTCCAGATTTGCCTCCGGCACACCAAGAATTATTCGTGTTCCGAGCCTTCGGGAAATGCGTCGTGAAGCATGCGAGGCCCAACAAACGCTTCTCAATATTTTGCACCGAGCCTACGACCTAGCTGCCCAGCTATGCTCAGCGCACAGACGCTCGCGTCCGTGGCAGACGCAGCACGCGTCGCCTCGGCTTGACGCCGTGCCGCCTTTTCTATACTGCATACGTTGCACAATGTTCCCGTCTAACCGCCGCATAGAGCCACAAACTTTCTTTTTAGCGAACCTCCCAGTCCTTACAAGCTTCAGAAAAAGGTTACAACTGCGTGAATGACACGCCACGTAAGAAACAAACTCGCACACACGAAGCGCAACGTGTGTGTGTGCATCTTTCTATGTTTGTTGCATGGTGTCTTTTTCGCGCAGGCGTAACCGTTTTCTGAAAAAATGACCCAACAAGACCAACAACATGTCATTCAACAAGCTTCGCTTGAAAACGTGCCTCACCTGTTATCTCACGCTTGAAAACGCCGACGCAGCCGACGTTGACGAAAGCGACGAAAGCGTCTCGCTGTCAGTCATGCATGGGCTTGTCCATGACCTACTACACTCCTGACCTGCCCAGAGAGCACCTCTTCCAGCGCCCACGTTCTAGTTCATACCTTCTGCCGCTAGGGCCGTCACCTACGAGCACTGTGGCGCTAGTCAGCACCTGTTCGCTGACGTCAGCTTCAGTGTTCGTGGTCATATTTCGGCCAACAGAGCACTCATATTGCGTAATTATTATGCACTAATGAAAAATAATTTTGAAACAAATATTTCAAAAGTCATTCACAAATTCTTTGCAATTAAATGGACGCAACATCACATATGCTGTCCTACACTATGTAAGTCTACGGATTCTCGCATTTGTCCACCAGTGTGCAATAAATTTTTCGTCACACTGAACAGCTTACTTGACCAGTCATCTAAGTGAAAAAATAGTCACATATATGCCGGCTGTTCATCACGGAATGCAGCCGTTCTTACTCTAGCGCCGTCCAAACAGCCGTAAAGTAGCAGACGAACAGGTTATAGGTAGCGCCACCTACGGCGAGCGATTGAACGAGAGCGGGGACACGCGCTCCCATAGGAACCCCGCTATCTGAACAGGTCAGGAGTGTAGTAGGTCATGGGCTTGTCGCTGGATAGATGGTGTTTATGACAGTACGGCTGAAGAAAAATAATCGCGTAAGGTGTGTTGAATAAATCGTTTTTATGTATAAAGAACATACCAAATTTGGGCGTGTAATTATTAATTTGTGAAAACAATTCTGTTGCATTGATTATAACTGTGTTTTTTTTTTGCGCTTGCGCCCTCTGACGTGTGGTGGGAGCACTAGTTCGTTACGTAGTCGTGACGCACTTCCTGAGGCCAGGTTTCGCGGAGTGTCCGCTCTTGTCTTCTTCTTTCTCTATGTGCATACCACGAGACCGCGTGGCAGAATAATGGCAGAATGCATCGACGCGCCATCTATTAACCGCGCACCTGCGGCAGGCCACCGCGTCGTTATCAAGGGCAACGCCTCCTGTAGAAACATGCCTGTGACTTGAGCCGAAAAGTTGGTTCCGGGCTAATTATTTATAGCTAATTAATTAACTCTGGTTAATTAACCTAAGCGTAACTAGCATCGTATTTCTAATGAAGTCGAGCATACAAAATAAGGTTCTCTCAGCCCAGCCTCTCTTTGTCGCGTTCAGCCAAGCTAAACTCATGTGAGTGTATACAATTAAGCCAAAGTAAGTGTAGATGGAACTAATCAAACCTAGTTGAGCATGGTATCCCCTAATAAAGCCAAGTAGGTTACATTAAGCTGATTTAGTTTAGCTTAGTTCAGTTTGGTGTTTTTGTGTTAAGCCAAGTTAAGCTTAGAAGAGTCAAGGTAAGTGTAGCCAAATCTAATTAAGCATACTTGATCGTGGTGTTAGGTAATTTAGCCGAGTATACACCCTTGGGTGTATGTGTTGACCTCTCGGCAGAGATGTAGCCAGGGGGTGGCACTCTGTGCAGCCCGTGCACACCCCACTCTCAAAAATTTTTTTCGCCCCCCCCCAAAAAAAATATCACAGCATATCCACAGACTGAATGGTGATGAGTGGGGTAAAGCGTCCGTCCGTCCGTTCGTGCATTCATCCGTCCGTCCAACCGTGGGGCGATTTGCCATTCTGACTGTCTGTACGTCCGTCCGTCCGTCCAGTGAACACTTTAGGTACCACCATCTCGCATCTTTTCATCATATATTGATTATATACAAGTACCGACATCTAGTGGTTATTCCAAGAACTAAACGAGAGGTGGCTATCTACTACATGCATAGAGGGCTCACGGCTTAAGGAGCTTCGACATTCCAAGAACTAAACGAGAGGTGGCTATACCTACTACATACAAAGAGGACTAGAGGACGCACGACTCACGGCCTAAGAAGCTTCGTCCCTAAAAGTCTATCCCCTGCGGCACATACCCGCTCTCTTGGGAATGTGCCACCGGTGGTTACAAACGGGTACGCGTTACCAGTGGTTACAAACGATAACGGGAGACGAACGGGTGTCGCCATAAGGAGCATCGCCCCTAAAAAAAATTCTGCATACAACCCTGCCTCTCGATCAGGACAGTGGAATGTTAGCTTCGGTTCAAGAGGATCCACTGCCTTCTCCGTGAGAGGAAATTGAAATGCGTGTGTCAATTGTGGTTGGTCTACTTTCCTGCCCCTTGAAGACCAGAAAAGGCCGCACTGAAAGCCGTTTCTGCACTGCGTAGGCGCCACGTCCGTACAAGAACAGGATGCGGACGGCTTCTACGTTCGCCTCTCCGGCGACCTGGAGCCGGAGCCGTTGAGGCAAGCTCCCGGTCGCCCAACAGCCGCCGCTGGAGGGCACACCGCAAGGACAGCGCCGCCAAAGCCTCCGCGCTGCCGAACCGTGAACCCCGTGCAGACGGCCTTTCCGTCCAACTGGAGTACGACTCGTGGCCGGCCAGACTACGAACCCGGGTAAGCTGCTTGCGCCGGCCCTGCAGAACGGCGCCCAGCACCGTTTACTCATCCGTGATGGCATGTATAGTTGTCGATGCTCCCGTGGCCGCGCTCGCTTTCACGTGCCTTGCAGCTGAGCCGAACGAACTCGAGCAGAATCGAGTGACAGCTTGCCGATCGTGTTGCGCATTTCCCCCGGCCCGACTCTCCCGAAAGGTTCCGGCATTCGTTTGTCGTCATGCGGTGTCCTTTCCTGTTGACTTTTTTTTTTGTCTTTACCTTTCACTTAGCTACCAATGACGAGTTTGTTTCTTATTCTTATTTATGATTTCTGCGTTTAACGCTCTTATAGTAAGCGTATACTGCTATACTCAGAATCGGCACTTTTCGGAAACATTATATATGTCGGGCCTCCTGCTTTCTCCCATATTTCTTACTTAAACTTAACTTACTGTGCTCAATTCGAAGATTGTGGATTTGTATAACCAACCTTCTATAGTCTTCCACAGGCGTTAGAATTTTTTTTTAACAATCAGTAACCGAAGTCCCGATCGCACCTCAAACGTAAAAAACATTACTGCGTTGTAGATCTGGGAGCCGAGTTATATGCCCTTGAGGAATATCATGTACCCACTAAAGTTTCGTCCGCACGTGAGAAGAGCAGCACGAGTGTAATATAGAATGCATTCTCTTCGAGTGACTGCAGGGCGAAGAGGAGCAGCATGGTCGACGGCTACGCGATGGAGCCGACGCTCGCCGTGCAGTATCGGCGTTCCCTGAAGCCGTCGGCGACTAGACCGCCCACGCCGTTCGTCGAGTCCACTGCGGCGGCCCAGCACATGTCGCCTGGCCGACGGTGCTGCGAGGTGCGAGTGTGAAGCAGTGGACAAACTGAAACCGCTCACTTTGCGTTTTCTCACTCTTAAGTCTCCTCGCAGATTCGTTAGCGCCTATTCTGTTTCCGACTCTGCAATTGTACGGAGCTCCTGCTGCGTATACACTCTCCTGTTTGACGTGGGAGAGCGCGTCAACAGTCCGGAGCATAAACGCTACGTATGACGAGAACCCTGGTAGTAGGGATGCTGACAAAACAGCGGCAAAGGGGACACGGGGCCACCCGGTGGAACTGGTAAAGTGGCGATGTTGCGCAGAGCCACGAAAAACCTCGCCTTTCATGTACTGCAGTCAGCGGACGAAAACTGGAGCCTCTCCTTCATACAGTATGCAAAAACGCAGAGTATCGTCCCCATCGACGATTATTAGAGTAACACCAAGAGTTTTTGAAGAGGTAAGCGGACAAGCGCGTTCGCAGTGTAGTTGCAGAATGGGATATATAAACATCGGCATTGTGTGTCACCAATTGAGTCACCTTCGTCCTTGTAGCGTACAGGAATTTCGTGCGAATTCTATGTCTGTCTAAGCAATACAAGCCGGAGCGCGCGAGCTCATGTGTGGATAATAGGCTGAAACCCGACCGATATATACTCGCCTGGTGCTGTGAAAAAATGGAGTGGAAAGGGTGACACTTTTCCGAGAACTTCTGCCACTCCCAACGCGTGCCTGTTCTTATAACATACGCCGAACATATCACACAGCCAACATCTTGACGTCGTGTAGCACCTATTGTTGCACTTACGTGCAGCGAAGAGCAGTACTGATTTTAAAAAAATGATATATATTGTCACGTTCCATTTACTGGGCACAGGTTCGCCCAAAATAAACAAATTATTCGACTCGCAGTGTGCTCCATTCGTCCACGTCACGACCCCGTGACAATATTTTGGTTTTAAGTGTGAATGCACTTTATAAGCAACCCCGAACCATCCACCGCCGTCGGCGGCGTCCGCAGTCTTCTCTCTATCTTTAAAAGTAAGAGGAGTTGGCGGGCCGCAGCGCGACGCTCTACCCAATAAGCCACAGACGCGACGCTGATATCGGTGTCAGTAACGCGCCTTACACCCCCTCCCCCTTCGCTCGCTCCTCCGCTCTCCTCACTCACTGCAGCTGCGCGCGCACCCCTCTCTCTCGCGCGCCCGCCTTCTCTCTCAGTCTCCCGTCGAGAGCGGGTCGTGAGGGGGAGTAAAGTTAAAATCCGTTGGCATTCGCCAGTGAGTTAACGTAAACTCCCCCGTGTGATCAAATTGCGATTCCCAGGAACCATTACACCATAAAGGCACCATAGTGTGATTAATAAGTATAATAGTGCGAATTAATAAATACCCCTCATAGCATCACCCCGTGTATTCGCACTTAATTAACCATGTTCACCCTCGGGGAAATGCTTGGGAGTTTTAGGGGCGAAGCTCCTTAGGGCGTGGGCTGTGCGTCCCCTGTAACCTGCATGTAGCCACCTCTAGTTTAGTTCTTGCAGTGTTCATGAGATGGCGGTACCGTCCCCTGTATGTAGCCACCTCTAGTTTAGTTCTTGCAGTGTTCACTAGATGGCGGTACCGTCTCCTGTATGTATGGGAATATGGAAAGGGGTCATGGTTCCTGGGCTGACGTTCGGCAATGCGGTCTTGTGCATGAGATCAGAAGTTCAAGCAAGATTAGAAATTAAGCAACGTGGAATAGGTAGGCTTGCTTTAGGAGCTCACGGGAATACACCAAATCAGGGAGTACAAGGTGATATGGGATGGACATCATTTGAGGGCAGGGAAGCTAGCAGCAAGATAAAATTTGAGAAACGATTGAGAGAAATGGGGGAAGAGCGTTGGGCTAGGAAAGTTTTCAGCTACTTGTACATGAAGAATGTCGATACAAAATGGAGGAAGCGAACCAGGAAGTTGACTGGTAAATACTTAGAAAACAGCAGGTTGCCAAACCAAAAAGAACTATCGGTTAAGAAGAAAGTGAAGGAAACGGAGACTGACATGTGGAGAATGGGCATGATTAAGAAGTCAGCACTAGAGATCTATCGAACTTTTAAGCAGGAAATTGCCAAGGAAAGGATCTATGATAATACTCGGGGTAGTTCTCTACTGTTTGAGGCCAGGACGGGAGTACTGCGAACCAAGACATATCGGGCCAAATACGAAGGGGTAGACACAGTATGCAGTGCGTGTGGAGAGGAAGAAGAAACTGCCGAACACTTGATAATGTTCTGTAAAGGGCTTCACCCTATAGTTCAGGATGATGGCGCAGAGTTTTTCAAAGCACTGGGGTTTAGGGACCGGGAGGGCAAAATAAACTTTAAGCGGGTAGACTTAACCAGAAGGAGGTTATCTGATTGGTGGCTAAAGTCAAGACACGAGTGAAAATTAAACTCTTCACTGCAAAGTACGAATCCTCAAACTCACTTTTTAAGGGAAAAAAAAATATAGTTTTTGGTTCATTAGGTGTTACGGCTTGGTGGCGCTAGCCACCGCCCGATCTAAAGGGTACAGCCATATCCATCCATCCATCCATGTAGCCACCTCTCGTTTAGTTCTTGTAGTGTTTACTAGATGGTGGTACTTGTAGCTGATGATGAAAAGATGCAAGATGTTATAAACTAGAAAGCGGTACTTGTAGTTGATGAAAGACGCGAGATCTTATAAAATAGGAATGATGTCACATATGGCGCGTGTCATTGGTTGAAGGCAATCGTTCGATTTAGTGCGGCGACGTACGCTAGGGGGAGCGATGTAATAAAATCGAGTGGGCAAAATGTACAGAGGATTCATGGTTTACCAGGTTTACCTCCGGAGCTTCGCCCACTCATCATCATTCACTTCGTGGATATGGCGGCATTTTTTTATCTTGACTTCTGTGTACGAACACACAAGCGAATGAAAGAGCGGTATGTTCCTCGGAGCCATGACAGCACATGCATTGTCGTGCGCTTTGGTGGCCGCCTTGTCTGCATTAGCGGCCGGTGAGTCACATTCAGATGGCGTTTCGTACAAGCACTACCGAGGCGGAAGTGTATCATCGAATAGATGATCGCGTTGCCCTTTTTAACGCGGCAGCGTTAAAGAACTTCTTTCGCAGAACTATCGCCGTCGTCGTCATCGGGTGTGATTGCTAGCGAAAAAGCAGCGTTGGCCGTGCGCGAACATACGAGGTAGATGCAAATGAACGTATGAGCCGGGAGGTGTCCGCACTTTGACTTTACCTGCGGGATGGTTTAGCTCTCCACCGAGGACCAAGGGCAGACAGCGATTGGGAAGGCGATATAACAGGATTCAAAGTGGATATTGGCGGGTCAGCAACCGAAATATGCGCAAGAAAACATCAATGCATCCGAAATAGTTACGAGCATATCTAGGGGTGCAATTATGTTTTAATAGTTCGAGAAAGCCTCTGCTGTGTACACAAAAAAGACCCAAGTATATGTACAATGCCTTCTCAGCACAAGCCGGCTGTAGAAACTGACTCGCCTATACACTTTAAAAAGATCTTTATCACCAGGTCGTCGCACAGACGAGTTGGGCTCGTCTCTACATATGGCAGAGCTCGACGAGCACAATGTGTATGAATGAATGAATGAATGAATTTGTGTGCGTTTGTGTGTGGTGTGAATGTTTTATAACGATTATCTGACGTACACGTAGCAATACGAACGTAAGAATATCTATAAAACGCTGTTATTTGTAAGAAACACGCGACGAAAATTTTAAAACGAAGCCAGTTAAACAGGCGTGAAGATAGATCGGGCGCGCACTACATAAGCTCTGCTGCAATGATAATGCAGTGGGGAAAAAAAAGGCACACAATGCTGCCTCTAATTGCCCCCGCTTACGGGCTTTCCAGGACCTAAGTTAATGGGTGGATCTTGTGATTTAGCATGCCTCCCTTTTCCCTGCCAAAGACGAGGTACAGCGGTCTTCGATCTGTCGAAAATTCCTTCCGTATAATCAATTGCTATGTATGTCCTGGAAACTGCGCAGAGTAAAAGATATGCAGTGGCTTCCCGTATAGCACAGCCTAGATGATCGCTACAAAACGTTCAAGAGCACCACAGTACGGGACTTATATAGAGAGAGTCGAGCAGGTTCGAATCCACGCCAATCGCACTGACGGCGGTCACTGGAAGGCGGCGACCATGAAGAGCAGCGCGAAGGCCAGGTAGAAGAGGAAGTAGACCTTGCGGCGGGGTTCGCACCGCGCGTGCAGGAACGCCGGCTCGGTTCGTGTGGGCGTGCTGCGGCTCCGCTCGGCCACCACGAACTGGCGCGAGAGGAAGGCCAGCGGCAGGCTGCACTTGAGCGCCTCGCGGCACGCGTCCAGCGTCTTGTTGCGGTCGAACACGCGCCGCCAAGCGTCCACCCCGAGCTGCACGTCGTTGTACGCCTCGCTCGCCGGGTCGTTCAGGAAGAGCAGGTACAGGTAGCCGTCGGCCTGCGCCTGCACGGTGGTGGGGCGTCGGCTCAGCTTGATTGATTGATTGATTGATTGATTGATTGATTGATATGTGGGGTTTAACGTCCCAAAACCACTATATGATTATGAGAGACGCCGTAGTGGAGGGCTCCGGAAATTTCGACCACCTGGGGTTCTTTAACGTGCACCCAAATCTGAGCACACGGGCCTACAACATTTCCGCCTCCATCGGAAATGCAGCCGCCGCAGCCGGGATTCGAACCCGCGCCCTGCGGGTCCGTCGGTTCAGCTTACACACGTACATGGAGCACGTATATATTCTCTAGCCTGTTACTCTCTCGGGCGAGTTGTGACATAACTTTCTCTAATGTCTTTTAGAGAGTTTAATGAGCTTCGAATTACGTTGTGTACACCTTTTAACGAGAACAAAATAATGATAACTTAAGGGCTCCTTTTTTTTTGTTACAACCTTAACGAAAACCGACAGGAAATGATGCCAAGGAAAAAGTTGCATATATGACAAGTCAGTATACTCACCAAAAAGAATTGGATGCTTTGCTTGTCGCGGCGGGTTCAGTAAGGCGGCGCTACGTGCCACATCATTTATCTCGTTTGCGACCGTGACATTTTAATCTCATCTCTCAGTGCCGTTTCGGCAGCCGAACCGAAATCGGCGCAATTTCTGGCGCAAGAGCTATTTCACTCGGTTGTTGGCTTCGCTTTGGTGG